CTGATTTACTCAATAATTACTCCTTTATTATAAATAATAGAAAAAAAATGGTTCAGGACTTTTCGACTCAGTTTTATTCCTTCTATCTGGCTACAAGAGATTGTACGGCAATTCTGGGACATCCTGTATATTAAAAAAAGAAGAAAGTTTAGAAAAATTTATGTAATACAAATGCGCTTTAAATCTAAAAAGACTGCACAAATATAAGTACGGAAAAACAAAGTTCTGTAATATAAGTAATTATTATATTTGTACATATATAGATATAGAGAAGAGAGAAAGAGCAATGAAGTAGTTTTATTGAGTATAGTCTGGTAGAGAAATTTGTATGTATTCGCGCACACTCTTTTCGATATGCTACAAAAATCTGCGAAGATATATATATATCATTCTTACATTCTTTCGTAATCTTATTAAGGACAACTTCTTCGATGCCTGATTTTCTCGTTTCGAGATAATTTAAGAACTGCAAAGAGAGTCGGCAGTCGGCTGCCAACGAATCTTTCGATCAAGTTAAAAAAATTTTTTTAACTTACCTTTTAACTATTTGAAACATCCACTCCTTAAATTTAAAAAAGAGATTTTCCCATGTTTCACGCATATAATCAGTCAGAAATTCTAGAGTCTTGACATTGGAAGCGAAGATTACTCATACAAACCGGGGGGGATGTGACAAGAGACATTTTAATATTGCGAGAATTCACACGTTTTTTTTAAGAACGAGAAGATTCAGAAATTCTTATAATTTATCAAACTCTTCTTGACGTTTATATTTCGTATAAAGTGGTTAAAAATTCTTCACGGACTCTTATTTGCCTAAATTTTATATTACGAAAAGATCGGATCCTTGTAAAATTATTTTGAAAAAATTCAATCTACGAAAGTTACAAAAAAAAAAAAAAAATAGATTCGTTCAAAACAAATTCTTTCTTAATGTGCAAATGTCTGAGATTCTCTACAGTGTTAATTTTTATATATTTAGTACTTGTGTGAGAAACAAAAAAATCAGGCTCTGCGCACATCGACACTTCTTGCTATCTTAAGTTTAAGAATACGAATCGTATAAAACAGCTAGAAAATGATCGCCCACTGATTAATCGAAGAATCCGTTTCTATTTGGTTTGTTTGTTTGTTTGTTTTTTTTGTTTTTTTTTAATTGTACGTAGAGTTTTTGCTTGAGCTTTTACACAATATCGAAGTAATTCAGAACGTGTATCGTACCTACGAATTTTTGCTCGACAACAATTCTTGCGGAAATACAGCGGGAACGTACGAATTATAAATTGAGAGCGTTCTTTTATATAAATTTAAAACTCATATAGTAGAAAATTTCAATATTTGAATATGCAACGAATTTTTCCCTTCAAAGTAACATCGACCATATTCAGTTCTCTCGGATCTTGCGCAATAAAACTATTTGCATCCCCCGAAGAAAGTGTTTATTTTTTTTTATGTTTCACAAATAAATTAATTTTTTCTCAAACATTACACTCGTGCATTTTCAAAAGTCTTGTTCTACAAAAAAAAAAAAAAAAAATTACTTCGTCGAAATTATTGCAAATATAAAAAAACCACATATTGTTAAATTCTAAAATTCAAATCCGCTTCCTTTAACACGAGAACGTGGAAAATGGTAGATCCCGAAGGCGTAAGTCAACCCCAATTCTCGCCTTGCCTCGTCTCGCCGAGGAACGGCCGCCAGGAGGATATTTCCATTTTGTCTGGCTGAGATCGATGGCGATCGCTTCGCGGCTCTCGAGTACAATTCCGAGGAGGTATTTTGGCCAAGAAACGGCGCGCAGGATATTCCAACTTCCGTGAACTCACTCGAGGCGCTTTGACTGCGGGCAGGAGGGGGAGTGACATAAATATCGCCTTACCGAAACGAAACACGTTATCTCGCGGAAAGTTCCCGTCGGAAGATCAGAGGAGTAAACTCCTTAAGTCCTTTTCAGGTGCTCTCCTGACTCCGTGAACTTTAGTATCGTGTGACGTGCGCATGAATTTTTCGAAAAAAAAAAAAAAAAAAAAAATGGAAAACGAGCAAGGGACTGACCAAAAATCCCTGTATGAAATTAAAGCATCGTAGATGCGATGCTTCTGTTTGCGTGTAATAAAATTTTTTTAACGCGTAATATATAAATTTTGATGAAACTATCCGTGTGTACTTTTTATTCAGCCTAATAATATAACTGTGCTGATATTCTCTTTTATATATATATATATATATTTTGTAAAAAGTTTTCGCTTTTATACTGTTTTGTGGAAATCGATACTCCGCGAGCCTGACCAAGGGAACCGGAAAGTCGAGCATCAATGGGCGACTCATTGTTGAATAATAACGACCGTGTTTTCACCGCGCATTTAACGCCGAGGTCCCATTATTATCATTATCGTTATTATTATTATTATTATTATTTATTTTTATTTTTATTTTTTTTTTTTTTACATCACACTGACAGAAATGTGGCGTTAAATATCGCAGCGACACTATCAATTTTCAATATTACGACATTGTAGCACATTCTACGTAAAATTCTATATATCGTGAATATATGTTATTTCACAATACCGCCGTATAATATAATACCACATAACTTTAAACGTGATTATACACACGATTCGTAATCTATGTTTTACATCGAATGTATACAACGTGATATTTTTGATGAGAGCTAAATTGCGAGACCGGGCCGACCGCGCCCGTTTAAACGCCAGATGTGCGGTGAAAATATAGGCCTTATTATACGATTATTAGTAATCTAGTTTTTTTTTCGTAACGAATACGCGCGTTACATCGTTTTTTTTTCTCACCTATAAACGCATCTCGATAGCGCATACGTGATCTCAGGATTTAGCACGATCTTCAAACGATGAAGGGAAAATTTGTGGGATTTTTGTTTTGCATTGTTGCGTGAGAAAAATGTTATAATTTATTTATTTATTTTTTTTTTTTTTAAATAAATGTTTGAAAACACAAATAAGAGTAGGATATATATATACACACACAAATGTAATTAAATTGATTGGAAATTCATTTTACAACGGACGTTTCTTTTTGAGAATAAATATTGACTAAACAAAATATCTCAAAATGTTTTTAAGAGTTCGTTAAACCTGTAATATCTTATCAGCGCGTGATTACATTGATTCGCGCGGATATTCATACACATATAAAATTGTAAAATTAAAAATAACATTTAGATGACTAAAATATCACAATTTAATTAAAGTGGTTGAGTCAAATTAATTCAATTATTATATTAAAATGAGAATATCAACTCGAACAATATTGTTTGTAAAATTTTGTTTCGTATATAACTTTTGTTAAATATATATATTTTGTTAAATATATATATTATTTTGCGCAAAAGCGCTAATGTTAATTAAATAAAGAATTAATTTAATAAAATTCAATTTTCATTAAAAGATTTATCCTAAATTGAAAATACTTTGTGCTTATCAATTATCAGAATGCGATACGATTTCCGAGATTATTCAAAATTACGTTTAAAAACTGAACCTCTCTGTATCGGCGTGCGCCATCGTTTAATCGATCGCGTCCCGCGCCTGATTTCCATTGCTCACTACAATATAATCGCGATTCGACACCCGACCGGATCTCAAATGAATAATATATCTATCGATAATCCGCCACGTCAGTTCTTTGCGATTAATCTTAATCTTACGATTTAGGTAAATAGTTAATTAATTAGTTACTTAGGCGCGTTGATTAGCGGCATGTAGGTTAATTCTTCTCACCTCTTTCCGCTTTCTCCGTCCTTGTATATGTGTGTCGTTACATTACTTTCTTCGATATATCGTCTCGTGGATGGCTTCGTGTCGATTATCGTTTTGGAGAAAAAAAAAAGCGAACAGAGAATGCCGAATTTTTTTTTAATTATTGACCGTCTTGGTCAATTTGTCGCGATCAAGTTTCTCTCTCGACAATTTTTTCTATCAAACGAACTCTATCAAACTTATACAGTCTTATTTTTACCTACACTTTGTGTCACTGTCTAACGAGATACTGCGAGATTCTTTAATTAAACAAATCCGAGAATTCCGACGACGTGATAACTACAAACGAAACTAGGCCGACGTTGAATCATTTAGGTATTGAAATTCTTGAACTCTCTCTCTCTCGAACATCTCTCAAGATTTCAAACATCGAAAAGAGTATTCGGAATATTAAGTTTTGGATAAAACTCAATTACCAGCCGGTGTAATATTATCTGTTATAAAATCTTCGGATTACAGAATTCTCGGCTCTAGACGTACCTTCTGCATTCTCCGTCTACGCATCAATCATCGTTAAAACTCATTATCGATTCTTTTTTTTCTTTTCTCCGCGTCTCGAAAATTTCAGAACCATAATTGCTGCGTGTGATTTTTTTATAACCAGGGATAAATATCGCGTCGCTTATCCACCAGTACATTTTCAAATGGCTATTTTTCGTTTTTACTGTCGAATCATTGAAGAGAAAAGATTCCTTTTTTTTTCTCTATCTCATCTCTCTGGGGGTGATTGTTCTTTCTCTCTTCAGGTTTCAGTGAAGAAAGACGCTGGTAACGGATCTGGTAGTGTGAGGTGGCAGATCGGGGGCCTCCGTCAGGGCCCCCTCGTGTCCCTATGCGGTCAGACCGAGTCGATGGATCTTCGCCGAAAGAAAGTTATGCAGGACAAATACTATTGGTTTCGGACAACTCTCCAGGTCGAGCTCCTATAAACGGGACAATCACTGATTGACGTAACTGGCACACAGGCTCTTTCTCAGATTTTCAAAAATTACAAGATCATCAGATTTACCTTTTTTCTCTTTTCTTTATTTTTTATTTTTTTTCTTTACGCGAAAACGAATCGCAAAAAAGTAAAATCTTGTTTTTTTTTCGCGCAAGTATTCTATATCCGTCCGTTATTGATCTCGCGGAAATATACATTGTCGAGAAACAGAGAAATGTGTGTATAACGCTATGACCTACTTTTTTTTCTTCACTCGCGAACTTGTAACAGAAATTGACGAAAAGCTAGTATCGGCTGGCGAGATTTATTTTATCGTTTCGCAGAACTTTAAGTGTTTGCGTTAATTTTTTGATTTTAATAATATCGCTCTATCGGGAGTACTTACAATTTCGCCGTCCTCTCCACCAAAATCGAGCCAAAGAAGACGCGCGCCGTCGTCCGCGGACATTTTCAATTTGTCAAAGGATCTTCTCCAGAGCGGTGTGGGAGGTGATCCGGGACTTACACCGTTTCCGGTTGTGCCCCGCGCGCCCGCTGAATAAAGCGCGAATCCTTCTTCGTGGTTGACAACTAACTGACAGGCCTTACCTTGCCACACGCAACCTGTAATGCAAATCACGAAAATAAAAAATTGACGCGGCGAAAATTCTCATTCTCGAAATTTCTCGTTCTTCGCTTCGATTCCCTCTTAATTAAAATTATTGATTGAAAAAAAAAAAAAAAAACAAACGCTATCGCGCGCTCTCTACCACGATTTCTACAATAAAATCTGACGATTTTATTTCGGTCTGATAATTTTTACCATTTAACCATTTAGTATGTTTGGATATAAATAAAAGTCAAATTAGGATCGAATAATTAATAATTAATTTTTTGCATTTGATTTTCACACACAATTCAGTTCTTAGCAATGCGCACTACTTTTTTATGAGACAGCCGTGTGTGTCTATACATATATATATATATATATGTATATATGTATATTTTTCTTCTCCCGTCGCACATTTCCGCCGTATATCGGTATCCGCGGCTCTTTATCATCGATGAGTTCGACGCGAGACGTGAACAAAAAAGACGCGTATAAAACGGGCGAGGCATTCATCTCGATTTATTATTGCCGTTCGTCGTCGCTGAAAAGAAATTAAAATTCATCGAACCGAGCGCGCGCAGAAAACGACGAGAGAGCGTAGATGTTGACTATTGTTGTTCGCCGCTATACGATTCTTTCGTGTCGAAAGAATTTCGGTGGTTCGCTTATTTCTTGAAAATATATTTTGCAGCAGACTCTGTGCGATTGTTAAAAAACTCTCTCTCGCTGTTTGATTTTTCACATTTTTTTTTTTTTTTTTTCACATAGATTCCGTCACAAAATATAGATTATCAGATGTGGGTCCTCGATAATTTATTTTTTAAATAAGAACAGGAAAAGTATAAATGGCCATTTGAAGCAAAAAACACTGGTGATAATGTGTGTGTGATAGCAGCATTACTTTATTCAAGAAGGTAATACAGAACGTTTTCGGCCTTAGATTAGGCCTTTATCAATATATATATAAAAATGTTGTTCTTGAATTAAAACTTTATCAAGTCACATGATTACAATTTAGAAATATAAAAGTAACTCTTACTCAGTTACTTTTATATTTCTAAATTGTAATCATGTGACTTGATATAAAGTTTTAATTCAAGAACAACATTTTTGGTAAATGTTTACAATAGGGGAGACTCCTCCGATCGGCTTCTCGTTTTGATACATTGTTAATATGACCTTCCTGAGTACGTTTCTAAAAGTTTTATCCGTCGCTCATTGTTTATAAAAAAGTTATGAACAAAAAAGGTTTCATCAATAAACTATTGTTTTTCGCCACCGTGTACATTTTTTGTGTGTTGTAAACATGTAGGTTTTACTCATTTCTATTGATATTGTAGTAATATAGGTTAACCAGTGTGAAAATTTTGCGAGGGGGAATGCAGAAAGATGAGTTTAGGTTAGGGTTAGGTTAGGTTTTTTAGGGGAGGGAGTGCAGAGGGGGCGCAGCCTCCCCTGCCTACACGCTTACAACGAAGAAATAAAAACAAATCGTCAATCAATCTAGTATCAAAAATCAATTCTAGCATCAAAATTATACATTCGGGACGAATACGAACGAAGAAATAAAAACAAAACAGAAAGTTTCGGAATATGCTACGTATACACACATTGTTGGCAACATGAACATTACTTATTTCCTTCTGAAATGTACACGGTGTCGAAAAACGATAGTTTATTGATGAAACTTTTTTTGGTCATAACTTTTTTATAAACAATGAGCGACGGATAAAACTTTTAGAAACGTATACTCAGGAAGGTCATATTTACAATGTATCAAAACGAGAAGCCGATCGGAGAGGTCTCTCCTATTGTAAACATTTACCGTAACTCTTACTCAGTTACTTTTATATTTCTAAATTGTAATCATGTGACTTGATATAAAGTTTTAATTCAAGAACAACATTTTTATATATATATACAGGGTGTCCCAGAATTGGTTTAACATCTCTCGTAGGCAGGTAGAAGAAATAAAACTGAGTCGAAAAGTCCTATACCATTTTGCTAGATTCGCAATAGTTACCGAGATCTTAATTAACAAAGATCCGCGAAT